CTAAAACCTTGTAATTGTCTCATTAGAATTATCTACAGAGCTAATATTCATTGTAGGATAAGAAAGATCATCATAGTTCATTTAAAAAAAGTGAAGCTATAAAAGGCAGAAGCAACTCATTTGTAAACCAAATTGGCATAAAAATCGAGAGCTCAAGGGTAAAAGACTTTCTTCGTAAATATATATTGAGGGAAAACTAATGCACACCAAACAATACAACTCAATAGATGATTTATTCAAGATTAGTTCGCTCACATACTATGCATTGTGCTAGCAATGAGTTTGAGAAATTGATGGTGTCCTCGTAGTTTGAATTATTTATATAAGAAGATATATAAGAAAATTATCGCCGTATTTTCATAATTGAAAGCAAATTTGAAATTCATGTGCAGTTTTTGTATTCAAACCTTAATACATTTTCTACCACAATTCAAGTTATTTATAATGTAAAATTTTCATAGACTTGTTTGATCTTGCGAGCATTTTTACTTGATCTTGTATAAATCCATGGAAGCTAGAACAAACACAAAAAATAGATTTATTTGAAGATATGGATCAAAATATTCATATAGGTCGATGCATTATGTAATATCATGGAGAATCTACAGTTGGAGTCAGTGGCTGATCCGGCACCTAGTGAGCATCCATCATCGCGCGTGCTGGATCCGTCGAGAGCATTCTTTTTTTTTGGTTGATATATATAAACTTTTAGGTTATATTACTCGTAATTTCTCTTAATTCTACAATTTTTACCAAAATTAATACAATAGGGAGCCGCTGGAGAGGATTCGAACTTGTGAGCTCATGTTCTAATTATTGAAAGCCCGACTACTCTGGCGCCCATTAACTTTTAACACTAAATTTAACAAAATTATATATATTACATTTTACTGTGTTCAATGCAATTATAAAGATTCAAACTTGTGCTCTTCATTTAAATTATACAACACTTGACAACAATGTCATTTGGTGAGTACAATTTATTCTTATAGTAGAATTATATATGTTCAATATGAACAAAATAATTATTAAATTTAAATTTTAGACCTTGTTTTATTCCCATTTATTATCCCAACTGTTTGAAAGATTTCTTGAGAAAAGGTGGGAAATAGGATCCAGGTTGGTTTCCCAACCCAACGGCTCGATCAAGAGCTTTAGTTGACATTGCGCACAAAGCAAAAAAATCTAGGAAACAAGATCGAAAAAAGCTTGAATTTGGTTGGACCCCTATTTCCAACCATTACAGCTAGCGTCAACCAGCTTTGCGATACGGACGGACACGAAGAAGAACGCAGGTAGCAGAAACAAAATACATTTTTATATATCTTATTTTTAATCATACATTCTTTAATAAAATAATATTGCACATAAATTCAAAACTTTCTCTTATTTTTAACCACACGTTCTCCATCAAATCACTATTCTAAAATGCATTTTTTGCTTTAAAAAAGGATATCAATCGGGCTCTTAATATTTTATTGCGGCTGACGATTGACGGCTGTCCGTGCTGATTCAAAATCCTAGATCCGCCACTGGTTGGAGTAGTGGGTTACCTACCCTCACACTAAATTTTAAATCCAAAATTTTGCACAATAATTTTTAAGATTTCAAAAAATTTCTTACTAGTTTCAATTTTGCCTCACAGTTAATTTTTTTAAAAAATTTGCTCCCACAATTCTAAAATTCTAATTACACCCCTACATAATATCAAACATGGATGCTTAGTAAAGTTTTCGAGGTGCAAAAAAGAAGTTTAAGATGGAATTTAATTTCCATATGAATGAATAGTGTGTCAATGAAATTTTTATGAGTTTATTTTTTGTAATTATGTAGATTCGAAAAGGGAAAAAAATGGAAGAAGAAGAAGAAGAGAGTGCGTGTATTCCAATTTACCCTTAGTCATTTGATATTTTGATCTTTCTCTATTTACTATTATTAATTTAAAAATTTTCTATGAAAGTTTAGAAAAATGAACGAAAATAGTATATTCGCTTATTGGCACTATATCACAATCCGTTCATTTTCTGGCAAGCTTCTCATAAAAGGTGATGTGTAATATTTATCGATGACAAGAATCTTGTATCCTAAATAAAGGTCCTCAATAATTATCCAATTAATTCTTAAAATAAAAATAATTTGAAACTCCATTGTTCGTCAGAAAGTCCTATACGTCTTAACTTTATAAGGTTATATTTTGTTTTCTAACATAGGTTTATGCCTAGTAACTAAAGTATTGTGTAATTAGAAATTGGTCAGGTAACATGTGGAAAGGTTCAACACCAATTTATTTGTTAGTCAAGCATTATATCTTAAACCAAGAAAAAATTAACACATATAAATTCTTACCTATTAAGTAACATTTTTTCCCCACAAAACATTAGCATAGTCTTAGTGGATTTTGAAGCGCCATCAGGAAATGCCAATGAAGGTTTGAATTCCCCAATCATATATATAAAAACAAAGTCCACAAGTACAAAGGGAATGGGGCATAAACATAATATTTAAAAAGCAATGAGATGCAACATGTGAAGAGAAGTAAAAATAGGAAGTAAGTGAAAATCAAACTAATGCTTTTTAATGTTAGGCAAACCATGTCTATCAATTTGAACAAGAACACGAAGTCCACGTGGAAGATCAAGGGGACCATATTCCACGTAATAATGTAAAACCCATCCTAAATATGCATGGTTAAATAATAAATACAGAAACCATAATATAAGAAAATTTAAATTCAATTTTTTAAATCTCATTTTTCAACCACACATTTTTTCATAAAATAATTTTACACATAAATAAAAAAAACTTCTTATTTTTTAACCACATATTTTTTAACAAAATACTATTTCAAAATGTACTTTTAGCCCAAAAAATGAGCTCAAATAGATAAGAATATAAAAGATGGTTGTTCAAGACTTAGAAGTATCATTCAAAATAATGCCCATGCCCATCTGAAATGCTTGAAAAAAAAGAAAGATAGAATTTGCACATAATTATCTGAACAGGTGACATATGAGTTAATTCAAATCAAATAAATTTCAAAAACCATACATGCAAGCAACAAAATATATACCACAAACTGTGCTTTAATTGCATGCTTAATATGGCTTGAATTAATTTGATTTGAGTACATTTCAATTGGCAAATGACGGAGTTCTTTAAGGCGGGCAGTTCAGAGATCGCGGATTCGATTCATGGGGCTCTTGGAAGGTAGGATTTTTCCTGGAATGCAAGACACATGCAAGAGTTTGACTCGTTCGGCACTTTGGCAGTTCAGTTGGGAGGGCTCTTGAACCCTGACCAGTTTGGAACACAACCCGTGATTTACCTGGTTTGCGTGAAGAGGGGCTGGATTGTAGGCCCCAAAATTTGTCACTGTAAGATAGACACCTGGGTATAAAAAAAAAAAAAAAAAAAAAAAGATAAGATTTGTATATAATTATCTGAACAGGTGACATATGAGTTAATTCAAATCAAATAAACTTCAAAAACCATACACGCCAGCAACAAAATATATAGCACAAACTGTGCTTTAATTGCATGCTCAATATGGCTTGAATTGATTTGATTTGAGTTTAGACCGAACTAAATAAGGATCGAACGCTCGACCAATCCAGTTTACTGCTCTTGAACCACCTTCTAGAGAACACCAGTAGTCGATAGGGCATTAATGCCTTCATTGCAATAACATTAATTATCATTGATGATTTGGAAAGTGTGAGCTATGTATATTAATTGTGATTGGGATAATATTCTTAAATGCAAAATCCCCCCTTGAAAGGCGGAATATCAACCCTATCCCTCTCTAATTTATTCCTCCCATGCACCAGATTATTTATCTAGCAACGTGTAAGAAAGAAAATGTAATGTAAATGGAAAAACACATAAAATAATGGGTAATAGCACTACGGTTTCGAATTGTGACGATAGAGTTCTGAACATTTTATTTCGAGCATTTCGAGTCCTCGACCATTCGAAGGTCTGCGCCTGAAGTCTATTTATGATGAAAACCGTCAAATTAAACGTTGAAGGATGGTTGAAGGAAAATACTAGGGGGTTTCCCGTATGTATGTCAGAATTTACGGGATAATTATGAATATGTGTGAATTGAAAGAGTCTTAAATTGTTGAGAAGACTAGTCACGGCTTTTCAAATATAAATGGTGAATATCAAATAATCGTTTTGTTTTGGATGGGAATGATTATTAAAAAATGTATATTATGAAATGTTGTGACTGTTGGATATGGTACAATCTAGATCATTATATATGAATGGTGTCATCTAATAGTCCACGTTAATTTACTTTAAAAGATGCAGCCATTTCAAAAAAACATTTAAAAATCTATAAATAGGAACCTATAATTCCATATTTTTACACCAAATCAATTGAAGAAAATTTGATTCCTAAATTCTCTCATATCCTCAAAATATTTTGTTATTTTTATTTTATTGAAATTAGATTTCATTTGAATTATGTTCAAATATAAAATTTTCATCTGTTTAATTTTAGTTTTTGACTATTCCGTTCGTAAAAAATACTGTCAACACTTTGGTTCACCTACAAAATTAATGTTGTGCTATATTAATTTTGAAAGAAGCACTTTATTTTGGAAGATAGATGTCCCTCTATCATGATAACATCATTATAAGGGGCGAAATCTGTTTTATCACTCGATTTCATCTCCTAATTTCTAAATTTCAGTAAGTCGTATTTTGTGCATATTTTGATGCGCATATCTTGATTTCGAAAAGTTAAAACCCTATCCAATATTTACACCAAAATGTCACGATTTTTTAATCATATTTTTACTATTTAACGCGGTCAAAACTTACAGACTACTACGCTTGCGTTAAAGTTTAAGGATGCAGAGTGTTAGAAATCAGAGATTGGGGACCTTGTTGACATAAGCTTCAAAGGTTGAGGATCCCTTCTGCTATTTACTCTAAAGTAATTGAATAATAGGCCCAAAATTTTTGGGATCTGTCTGATTAATAGTAATTAGAATCTCAACGACAAACAGTAATCGCATTCAGACCCTAATCTGAAAGATTAGCAATTTTCATTCGGAAAGGGGAACCTATCTGTATATACATTCATATATTAATGTTTGCACACGCTCATAAGTCGCAACACAATAAATTGAGCAAAAAGACATCCCATTTCCACAGCCTTCTATAGATTTCCCACAAAAACAGGCTCTGAAAAAAAGAGGAGAAATGTCAAGCAGCGAAGAGAATATGGAGATGGAGGATTCGAATGGGGATTCATTTGGGAAGGTCAAACAAAGGTTCAAGGATCGATCCAGGGTACTGTTCTATTTATAATTGGTGTGTGTTTTTGCATAAATTTTATGCATGTAGATTGAAAAGATTTGATTTTTTGTGAGTTGGGTATTTGGGTTGGTGATTTTTTTCCCTTCCTTGATGAGGGTTATTTTTGGTTTTGCTCAGAAAGTGGCTCAAACCAAGGAAATTTTGTCGAAACAAGCAGTTCAGACCAAACAGATCTTGTCCAAACAAGCGGTTAAGATCGCCAAACAGGCTGAAGAACATGAAAGATTCATCAATAAGGTATCAAACTTAACCTTGTATATTCAAGAATCTTCATGTGTGTGTGTGTGTGTATTTCAAGAATCCTAGCATATGACGTGTGTGTAGAATAGTTAACACAGAAGGGCAGATACATGATTTCACCTTGTATTGGGGTGCTATCTACTTAGTTCAGTTCATGCATTTCGTCATATATTTTGTTTTAGTTCTGCATTAAATTTTCATATGGTATGTGATATTTCAATGATGGTTGTATTGATTGGACTTATGGTGGATTGTAGGTGACATATTTTTTGGGTGTTCTTGGTTTTGGGGCATTTTGCTTTATTTTAGGTGCAAGTGAGTGAAACAGTAGTTACTTCAAGAATTTGTTTACAGTAATATCTACTAGATTTTATCGTAATTTGGTGTTTTTGTTGATTGATCAATCAGGGCCGCAGGATATTCCGTATGTATATTGTGTATTCTATGTAATTTTCGTTCCTCTCCGGTGGATTTATTATCGATACAAAAAATGGCACTACTATCTTTTGGTAAGCCCAGACTTGTTGTAAAGTTAATTTCTGCATTTCTATAAGTTCTTGTTGTTTATATTGGACCATGGTTTAGGACTTATGATGAAAATTTTAAGAATAATTCAGAAATATCTTTTGGATTACAAATTTATAATTTTGAACTTCGTACATGCTAAATCATGTATTTTAAGAACTTAAATATAAAAATGGATGAAATTTCAAAACAAGAATTTATTGAGCTGCATTGCCTAAAAATAATCTTAAAGTCCGGATTGGTAGATTCAAGATGCCCTTTTGGATTACAAATTTATAACTTTAATTTTGAATTGTTAGTCAGACGAGGTTGAAGGGAAATATCAAAGCAGGAATCAACTGTTATATTATGCTCTTGTTTCATGCAGGATTTTTGCTACTATGCCAACACAATCTTCATAATCATGCTTCTGTTTTATCCAAGAAATGAGAAGCTTTTCATGGTTTGCTTCTCATTGGCAGAGGTAATCATCAGTTGGTTGAGAGGTACATCTGTCCCATCTTGTTGACTTTGGTTCATTCTTAAGTTATTCTGAATCATATAATATTTACAACAGGGGCCATTGGCGTGGGCACTAATAGTTTGGAGATGTAGTTTAGTTTTTAATTCTATGGACAAAATCGTAAGTGTCTTCATACACCTGTTGCCTGGTAAGTCGACCATTTCTGCCATTCTGATTTTAGTGGTTCTGCTGGCAGCACTTAGTGTTCTAGCTCGAACACAAGTTTTAATTTACTATTTGAAGATTTGAAAAATAAATTTTGATTCACTTTTATTCATTTGCTAGTTTTCTTCTTGACTATTCATGCTGCAAGTTGTACATATTAGTTTTTTGAACCTGATTTATTTTCAATTTATATATTTGGACCTATCGATGAATATTGATTCGGCTCGATTTTCTTGTGAACTTTTCCTCTAATAGTAAGTAAACATGTAAACGTTTTAAGATGCAGATGTGGTGAAATGGCATCTAAAGATTTGTCATTTTCGGTGGCACATTAAAAAAATTCCTTTATTAATTTGATTGAAAGGCCTATGCAAATTTAGTAGTCTCATATATCTTTCACTGGAAATTAAGGATTATTAAAATTCAATCATACTTATTATTTTCGTAAAAATAGGCTGATGCTGGAATCTATTTTACATTCGAGTACTCCCTATGTCATTTTCACTGCGCCAGACATAAATCTATTGCAAATGCAAAGCACTGTGCTCCATGCTGTATCCTAAATTTCTGTGTATAACCTAAGCATTGTACTTTCATTTGCTTCTCTTCAATGAAAGTTTGATTTTCCTAGAATATATCCTAATTTTTGGCATGAGCCATCTTGTGATTATTGATTCAACCTCTTACCAAAAAGATAAACCTTGGTTTGCTTTTATTTCATCTAATCAACAAGTTTAGAGCTTGTTTGAGCCCCTTTTTTGTTCAAAAATGTATTTTGAAATAGTGATTTGATGGAGAATGCGTGGTTAAAAAATAAGGAAAAGTTTTGAGATTGTTTATAATATTATTTTATTGAAGAATGTGTTGTTAAAAATAAGAAAGAAAAAAATGTCATTTTGAAATTAATGGGGATCAAACAAGGGCTTAGTAAGGAGCATAACAGCCCTATTCTTCCAACAGAGAGGAGAACCTAAGATTATATTTTTGGAAAATTTCAATATTAACAATTTCAATAAAAATCTTTTAGTTTCTTATTTGACTATGACTATATAGGCTCCTCTATTGGTAGAGTACATTGACTTTGTAGAAACGACTTTATCTAACATATATTGCATAGATTTTGTAAGCCAGTTGTGAATTAAGCATCTTGCAGCTGATGCAGCATTTGTGATTTTCAGGACTGGTTTATTTCACGATTAGATGGTGGGACCCTGTGTTTTTGGAAGCCATGCATCCCGAAGGAACTACACAGAGAGCTTCATGGCCTTATGTAGAGAGCAAATCTTATCTCTGGACGTGGCTGTTTTTTGTTCCTTTATTTGCTTACAGCATTTGGCAGGTTCTTTATTTTCTTATTGTAGATGTCCTGCGTCGACAAAGGCTACTTAGAGATCCCGAAGTCATGACTTCTTACAGGTAATCACCTTTCTCCTTATCGAATAATTGCACTCTTCTCTTTTCTTCTGGTTAAATTTTACAATATTGTCGCTACTCCATAGACTTGGAACCCTTAAGAGCATTTTGGCTAAGCTAAAAAAGAAAATTACATTTTAGTAACTTTTGTTTCCATACATATTTGGACAAGTTACTTTTTTCTTGCTTTTAAGTACAAAATATTACTTATTTTGAAAATAACTTACCTTGATATTGTGATAAGTAACTCATTTTCAATTTTGATCAATGAAAGAATTATTTATTTTAAAACTTACTTATTTACTAATATATAATAGGGAATTGTCAAAGAAGGCACAGAAAGCAAATAACATATGGTGGCGTTTAAGTGGCTTGCTTGGGGATCAAAATCGCTTGTTTATGTATATCATGCTCCAAGCTATATTCACAGTGGCAACTATGGCACTTACAGTACCCATATTCTTGTCTTACAAATTGCATGTCGTTTTCCAAATACTCAAAGTTTCTGCATCTGTGTGGAATGGAGGAAACTTCCTACTCGAAGTAATGCCACGGCAAGTCATTCTCAAGGAAAAGAAGAAAACGAAGATGCACCCTATTGAGAATATGCAGGATCAATCAGCACTCGAGAACTCAATGAAAGTAAATAATTCATCTATGGTACTTGAATCTTAAGAGGTGTGCAGAAATAAAATGTCTTGTAAAACTCTTTTTTTTTTTTTTTTAATAACTGTTTGTCAGTGAGAGCTTAGGCTGATTTATTTTCTTTGTTCAAAAGAATTTTCTTTTTCTACATGCAATCTCTTTAGATGTGCCCTAATTTGTAAACTGAGGAGATGAATTGTGATATAATGCTTTCTTTTGGCGTTTTTGAGAATTGGAACTGAATTTTGAAGACTTGGTAAATACCATATCTAAGGCATTCATGCTAGTTTTAAGAAGGGGAGAGAAAAGGAGCCCCTGACCCGCAAAGATTAGTAGAGGATTTATTTAATCACATAGTTTGATCTCTTAGAATATGACACCCGTGGGACTTTCCATTTGATTGTATCAAAATGTCCAATGAATTGTAATTTCCCTACTGTTCAGGTCATTAGGAGGAGACTGATATTTTGTCCATTTATAGAAGATTAACTTACCAGTCGATCATTTTAACTTTATCATTTTTCATTGTGGAGAACAATTAAACGTAGTAGGATAATGTGTGAAAAGGGACGAGTTTTGGCCTGTAAAAGAAAGTAGGAGAAGGAAGGTAAACAGTGTTTAAAACACTGGTGCTAAGCACCATAGCATTATTCATTCAAGAAATGCTTGACCCTTATTGAATAATCGCAAGTTGATTCTTTGAAATGCTTTGGACTACATGAAACCCGTAATTTTAAGTTTGCAGTATTGGGTAGAACTTGAATGAGATTGTAAATTTATTTTCTTAATATCGTTCTTCAATCCTTACCAACATGCCTTCAATGTTGGAAAAGGGAATTGCGTAAATAAAAAGAGATAAAACGCCTAAATTCAGGAGGTATAAAGACTCATTATTCGAGTTTCACTGAACTTCAGTTTTTATTCTCTGTAAAAGCAACTCTAGCTTTTTGCCTCGAGATGATTCCAAAATTTTTCACTTGTTGAAAGGAATGAATCTCAAGGAAAAGAAAAATAAAAAATAAAATAAGCAAAGGTAGAAATTGAGGTCATGAAGAAAACAGTGGTCTACATCTAGGGCAAAGTCGAAAAATATAATCTGAACCATACAATTTCCAAATAGATGCTCATTCTGTTCTAAATTCCTGCTTATAAGAAATAATAAAGAACAAAAATAAAAATAAAAAATTCTGTCTTTACATTAAGATAATAAAAGAAATAAATGACTGTCATTTACAAGAACCCTTTCTTTATAGGAGTCATTTACAAGATCCTTATCTTGTCGACACCTTAAATATGTATCAAAAGAATACATCACCACCTTAAAATGCATTCTGTCATTCTGTAACAAATAGAGAACCCTAAAAAACTGAAATTCCTATGAATTTACACCCAAAAACCTGGCAAACAACCGTTGTAAGCCAATCAATACATGTTCCTATACTTTTAATATCATCAAGCATAGGACGCCCCCTAAGGCCTTTCGATCACGCTTCTTGCGTTGAAAAGTCCAGGAAAAAATAAAAGGCAAATCAAGCAAGACAACAAACCAAGTGTGTTTGAGCTAATGAAGAAAAATATACATAGAAATGATGCGACAACGATGAAATTGTATTCACAACTATCTGCATGTGCTTGACGTGTGGATCATCGGCAAATAGGACAGGACATAACCAAATGCCACGACTTCATTCTGAGCGTTGGTGTAAAAATACAAAGCCTGAATTATCGCGGATTAATGGGGGAGGCTCCACATCAGCAACATCTACTTGTTGCATAGACTTGGAGAGGTCATCCACAGAGAACGGGATACTGCAAGGTGTTTGATAGCAAAAGTATTTGATACCACAATACTTCTAAAGAATGCAGCAATTATGCTCGTTAATCATGTATATCTACGTGTAAAGAGACTTTTTAAGGACAAAAATCATGGTAGGTTGTTTGGATATGGTACCCAAGGGGAATGAAGCATTTAAAGTAGGCATAAAACTGCAACAGTTAATGTGACAATCGCTTCATGATACCATAAAATTACCTTGAGTCATCGTCTAATAAAAATGAACTGCTCACTCCATTGTTCGAGTTATCCATCACCAAAGTTTTCATCTTTGAAATGACCTGCATACCATGGAAAAAAAGAGTGAATTGGGAAATCGACAACATACATTGAGAAAATTAATTTTATCCAGAGAGAACTAAGTTGACATGTCAAGAGCAAACACGAGAAAGAACTATCTTACATCTGAAGAAACACTGTGGGTGCCATACTTATCATCCCAGTACATAGTACTAATCCTGTATAATTGTTGTATGCTAAGAACCTGAGGTAAATGTTAACAAATGTTAAGAGATGAGAGTAAGTCAAAGCCAAAAAAATGTAGTTAGAGGGAAGGACACTCACAGGGCAAAGTTCATTTGTGATTTCGTTCAAGGTCTTCTTAGGCTTTTGATGTATAACCTGGAACGTAAAGAATTTAATAAATATTTTAGGTAGCGATCCATGTGAACAATGAGCAACTATCAGTCTAAGTAGAAACGAAGTTGAAACTGATTCTTACGAGAAAACCAACAGCCTGTCTGATATGCTTCAATTCGTCCCAAGCTGATCCCACATACTGAACAACAAAAGATGCAGTTTAGATATTTTACTTTGATGATGGGAAGTGCAAAGAGGATGTTTGGTTTTTAAGCTTAGCCAAACATGTTGATATTAATATTGGGTGAAGCTTACCTCCTCAGTCGCAAAACAACACCATTGTTCTAATTCAGCCAATCCAGCTTTCACATACTCACCGTTGCTGAATGAGCAACACTCGCGTCGCAAAAGCAGACTGAAAAGTTTTGAACAAAAAAAATGATATAGTAATAAATATTTTGAAGGATATGGAATTCTAGTGAACCCAGAACATCAAAATTTGGCGGATACAGTTTCAACAAAAGATGGACTTACCTGTTGAAAAGTTGCACATTGACAAATGAGAATATTTGAGTGAAAACCTTGCGGACTAGGAAGGGTGGAACCTACAATGACACAACGGTATGGAACATAAACAATTTATCTAAGAAAGAAGGAATGAATAGTGGTTTTGCCAATTGAGTTAAACTTAGAGCTTACATAGTTTGCTTTCATTATCTTCAAGTAATTATTTAGGCTTTTTACAATTTTCTGCCAATGAGCAATTAAGGCTTGTTGAGCGCCAGCATTAGCTTGAGACCGCCCTTTAACTAAACCTGCGCGGGATGTTCTAGGCGCCTGAATTGAACGAGTAGGTAGTTAGCCAGTTAACCAGTAATGCATGAAGTTGTCCGACCTCTCCATTAGTATTGGTGCTTTTAATATCATCCAATAAAAAATGAAAAGGGAATGAAATTGAAGTATAAATAGTGTCACCAAAAATCATGTAGGAGACTGAATCAGACTTGGAAATTTTTTCACAAAAGCTAATAACATTTACTACCTTAAACCAGCACATCAAATTATAAAATGCAGCATATACCTGGATGCACAACCCAAGCAAGGGGGAAATCTCTTTCTTTAGACTGTCTCTTATCATCCCATATATTTTCTCCAAGAAAGCAGTAAGCTGCTGCTTGAATAATAAAGCAGGATACTTGGCCTCTACTTGTCGCAAGTCATCGAGTCTACTAAGCACCCGATTATTCAGAAATGAGATTCCAGCACTCTGTGGAGAAGCTCGTAGTCCCTAAAAAGTCAACGTGGAAAATAAGAAAGAGGCAAAAGAAATAAAATGCACAACATGTGAGAAAGCAGGCAAATGAAAGTTAACTGTAAGTCCATACTTGTGACATCCTGCCAAAAAGAGAAGCTGATGAAGACCTCCACCGTTGGGGAGTCAAGCTAGCTGTCCCACTTGCTCTAAGTGTGTGTTGAAGCAGCATCAACAATGTAGACGTATTACATAACCAGTAGGCTAATACATCATTATTATCCGGAACCTACAACAGAAGTTTTGGAAATTAGCAACTTTCGTGGATGCTACAGAAATATGCATTTGGAGACAAACCCATCGCACAAAATGTTTGATTCATTCAACCAGTCAAAGAAACAGCCATTGAACAAAACAGGAGTAATTTCTACTTCTATTTACTTTACCTCAATAGCTGATGCTACAGTTTGAATTACTCGGTCAAATACAGTAGTCCTTTCGACCTCAAAAGACCTCCAGTGAAGAAGACATTTGTAAATAACACAAGCTGCAATTGGTTTACCCCCAGAATATCCCAAATCTTGTGAAATACACTTGATCAGAAGGTCCTGGTTTTCCTGTAGAGTAAAAGTACATCAAAGCAGACGTATCAACAAAGGAAATTTTGGAAAAAAATTGAAAACAAATTTTGTGTGTATCATGGATACGATTTCTTAGAAATGTCCCGGAAAACACGTACTTGCTGTTTGTCATTAAGGGACTTCTGAGGTTTTTCCTCGGAATCCGGCTCCTTTGAATTTGCCACAGCAAGAACCATATCCTACAACAAGCAATACAGAATAAGCACGAAGTTCCCAAGCCATAAACAGTCATATACCTGCACCAGTTCATCTTATGTCCCTCAGCAAATTAACACGTTCTTACATGTGTAACCTTAGTTTCTCCATTATGAATATTTCCATTATCAGGAGTTCTCTGTAATGCCACCAGGAAAAAGTAAGAACGTTTCTGCCATTAAGTAATCAGATGGAAAATAACCAAAATATATCAGCATTACTTGAACAATAGTTGTTCTAGGACGTGCAGATATAGCTTTTCCTGTAGGTGACATGGTCAGAGCTTGTTGACGTAATACTTGATTTTCCGATTCCATGTTAGATAGCTTCTCTTCAAGCCTGAGATAAGAGGACAAAGCATTCTAATAAAGTGCTCAGATGCAAATAGAGCATGAGATACATGTGAATTGCCAGCAGGGGAAGGGGGTTAAAATGCCATTTACTCGCTGCATTAGCACAAAATCCGCTTAGAGAAAGAAACAGGTCGTCTACTGGAATAGTTAAAAATCGAGAGCTTCACAGTGCAAATCAGAGATTGTAGAGACCAAGCACAAATCAATGAACTATGAAAAAAAATAATCTTGCTCCTAGCCTGTGCTTCCCATGGCTGAATTATCTAGATTATGTTTAAATAATAAGATAAGAAACTCAAGAGCACAGATATGAGCTAATAGTTGCATATACCCAAAGGTATGTCTACAGCAATTGTCAATTACTAAATCAGTGCTATACATTTCTGTCTTTAATATTTTGTCTACACACCTCTGTACAGAATCTTGAAGCTGACCCACTTTTCCCTCTGCTGCTTCAAGTTTTCTAACCAGATCCACATTTCTGGCCTCAGCATCTACAGAAACCTTTCTAACCTCTTCTGCAGCCTGTTTCTCTGATAGCAGCAAAGCCTGTTCAATTTATAGAATATTATTATACAAGTTAGCGTGCATGTCATTCTTTATTTACTTGTAATGTAAAGCAGAATTTCAACATGAAATTAATTTAAGGAGGAAACGAAAATTTCTAGAGTCTCATTGAGTTCATCCCAAATATTTTATAACGTCTATTCACCATAATTGACAGACGCTAGCCACTTTAATGGGCTACTCAGTCAACTGGATAATGTTATGTCTGTATTCTGCAGTCAAGCAAATATTTTCGTCCAATGTAAAGTTCTTACCTTCAAACTCTCTACCTCGTCTGTTAATGCATCAATCTTTGCTGTGTCTTGAACCACAACTGGGGTTTCTTTAATGACTGGGGGAGCTTCTTCAATTGCTTTCCGTGTTGCCTCTCGTTCTTTTATTACTCTGTCATTTGCTTCTTCTACTTGTGTTCGCATTGACTGCAATGCCTCCTGTAATTTTGCAATTTCTTGTGCTTTTGTTTCTTCCAACTCAGTCTGCATTTGACAAACAAATCAGGGAGGATTGGTTGGCCAGTCAGTTCCTGTACATTAGGTCCCATGAATCAGACATAATTTTCAAAATTTACCCTCAATCGCTTCTCAAACTGCAAGCGCCATGTAAGTTCTTCTACTTTCTTTTCTAGCTTGTCTTTTGCTTCTTTGAGGGCACCTGTTTCTCTTGCAGCCTGGATCAATACATGTATGATTATTTAACCACATTATACAAATATTTCCTTGAAGATGAAACAATATCAAGGATAGAGTTAAAACCATTTTGAGATTTCGAAGCTCTTTCCGAGCAACCCGTCGCCTCCAACCACATTGGGTGATAAGAGCGGCCCTCTGAAGACTCTTGTAATAAAAATATTTGTTGTGACCACGAAAGAGGGCCTGCAATTGATAAAAGATGGCACATCCAGATCAGATTGAGATCAATTTCTTATATGCTCCAGGTCCACGAAACCATTTAAGACATTTCTCTGAGAAATAACAATCAGACCTGAATTTTAATTGCAGCCTTGGTACGTTTCCTGAACCTGAATTCATTGAGAGCAATCATTGCTCTCATGCCAGTCTGCACTGTGATAGCGGAATCCTGCAATGTTAAGTAGGATTTCCGAGCAATGTAACATCTGAAGTTCTTCTGAATCTTCAGAGCTGCAGCTTCACGTCGCAATTGCTCATAAACTTTGCCAGCAGATATAGCTAAAAGACAGTAGAGGAGGAGTTAACTTTGCAGCAAGAATTTCTGAACTAAACTAGTTGACAAAATCCCAGACAAGTTAGGCAGCAAAGAAAACTTCTATTCAACATGACTTCTCAAGTTGTCCATCAATGAGTTCCGTAAACATGATTCAAACGTCTACATGGGGGTGTGTGTCTGAGTGAACACATGGAATAAAACTTCTATACAAGCTGAGAAAGCATCATGTCAAGTTGTCCATCAACAAGCTCTGTAAACATGATACCAATGTCTTTGTGGGAACAGTAAACATGGGTGTGTCAGCGTTAGAATATGGAAACAATTATTCAAGCTGAGAAAGCATCAAGAAGCTCAGTCTAGAAGCCTCATGCAACATGAGCTTGCCTCAGATTACATAATGAGCTAATACGGCAAGATCACAGGTGAATCTTAGATCAACAATTAAATCTTCTTCATGAAAGTAAGCACCGATTGTATTGCATCCTTAATACCTACGTATATTATTCAATATTTATACTAGTCGATGAAGTAAATATAAGCTGGAAAGTGTGTGTAAAGAAGCCATTATTGAGAGATACCTCGCCAACACGACTGTAATTGAATGGAAGCTTGGCGTAATGAGATGAACTCCTTCCGAGCAATGTGAGTGCGGATTTGCCTTTGAATGGTTCTGGCTGCATTTCCAAGAACCTCTGCTCTCCTTGCATCTAGCTCGGCCATCTGACCAGCTCGTAGGAAGACCTTTGTCTTACCTAACTGCAAACCCAAACACCATCTAAATGAACACGTTGAAACTACGAGATAGAATTATAAATTGATGAATGCAACAAAATGTCTTGGAAAAATAGAACAGATTATTAAGCTAAGCTCAAATATCCTGTAACTACTGAATGCTAGAAAATAACAAGACATGATTAAGCGTATAACCATATGAGATTCGATGTAAATTTACCTGATAACCCTTTAGTCCCATTTTGTCTAGAATCATCTGGCAAGCAACCTTGTCATCAAAACTGAAGAAGAAAATACTTATGGCTTATTCAAGAACCAGAAAAGGAAAGGAAAGCCAAAGCCATAGGAGGATGGAAAAAATGTACCTCAGATATACATATATTAACTTAGAGGTTTAAATGACAAAGAAAAACTTAAAAGCTTACTTTCCATCCAAAACTTCAGGAGCAAGAACACCAAATCGGAGAATAAACTCATCAAATGTACGTCTAGTGGGGTATCCAGCACAGCTGATTCTGATAGCTTCAAGAACACCCTGCAATATGAAGAAAAGTTCACCACACATGGTCATAAATTAAAAAAACATAAAGACTATAAATTTATGGTCTTCTGATTCGATCTATTTGACAATATCAAATAAGTATGAAGTTTGACCCAAATACTTACACCACAACGCAGTTGTTGCATAATGTTAATATTCTCAAAAATAGCAGGCTTGAGAACATTATTTGGCTTCACACATCTGATGTAGTGAGGTTCTGTTGAACTCAAAGTCTCCATTAAAGATTGTAGTTGTAGCTGCAAGCATGTAAATACTATTAAAACAAAGGAAAATATACACTAAGTAGCAACTAGAATGAAATCTGAAGATTACATTTTTTTTTTTTTTAAATATCCAAAAAAAAATGAAATATAATTAAGATTACCAAATTTCTTTGGAGAACAATATTTTGAAAACCTAGAATGTAAAATAACAGAACCGTTGGTCAGCACACAATTCTTTATTAGTTTCCACTAGCCAAAAGTGTTTACAAATCTCAGTCTAACAAAATCACAGGCCTTATAGTTCAATGTGGTAACACAGTGCATGTAGCCTAGTTGTAGGCCTACTCCTATTGTGGTCGGGGGTGGGCGCGAGAGGTATGCATGCAACATGTGCGCCAAGGAAAGCAGAATGTCTGACACACTAAAACATAAACCCAAAAATTGAGTGGTGTCTACTAGCTCAATGGTGAACAGGTGCACTGAACCAATGATAAAAATATTTGTTGAGACTAACTATGAAGCATTTGCCCTTTTACTTAGCCCCTGTTTGGGCTCCATAAGAGCCCGTTTGGCTCTCATTATTTGAATTTATAATGGGGGAATAGTAATTGTTTTGAAGATTGTGTGGTTGAAAATAGGAGCGAGAAAAAATTAAATTAAATTGAATAGTTTTAAAGGGGCCAAACGGGGGCTAAATGTGTTTTTGGGGTAAAATGTAATTCGGAATAGTGATTTTTCCAAAGAATGTGGTTAAAAAAGAATAAAAAGTTTTATATTTACGTGTAATATTATTTTGTTGAAGAAATAGTTAAAAAAAGGAGAGAGAAAAATGCATTTTGGATAAATGGAGCCCAATCAGGGGCTTAATTATAGACCTGGAAATGCAGACTTGCATTTAGTTCAGGATCCTATGCACAGCTCTTTAAACACAATTGGGCCTAAATGCAACACAACTGTAATTAATTTAAACCCTAATTAAAACCAAGCAAATTGATTGATTATCACTGGACTCAAAATAATGACTCCAGATGCTTCTCTTTGTTTCAAATGTAGATAAGAAGTGTGGGATCAGTAGATGGTTACTAAGAATAAAAGTCACACAGTTTGAACTCAATTATAGGCAAACTTAACAATTTTAAAGCATTTGAACACTAACGAGAAGACATAGGAATGACATGATAAAATGAGGGTTTGATGATTGTCTGAGAAAGCTAAAAATTGGTCTAAGAATTCAACAATCAATTCGCTCAAGCAAATCTTGATTTTGACAGGACAACTAGATTAATTTCAGGCTATTTCTAGTCCCATTATTTGAAATTCTTGTCACTTTTAATAGGAGAGGTATTATTCAACTATCCAGAGGTTCCTCTTCCTGGACGATCTGTCAGAGTCACGTCACGTCACATCAATATCCTTGAATTCATAAATGTTTATACTAATTTAATAATTTACATAACATTTTCAAGCATTGCAATTGTATCATGGCTAATCATTTCTACATATTTGCTAGTGCATACCCAAAAATTAGATCAACGATCTACGCGATTTAACATTTATGCGCATTGTCAATCATAGTTTACATACAATTTGAAGCATTACAGTTGCATCTTTGCAAATCATTTCCACATAAACTGCACAAAGCATGTAAATCAAAACCAGATAAAAAACTGGTTTGTTTTGACTATATCAAGCTACTCAATTTGACCATAACAAAACTAGCCCAATATATATATATATATATAGTGTTTGAGCCAGCTTACGCGCACCTCGACTAATCTCACGGTCCCTAAAGTTTAGGGCCAGATACTCACCTCAGTGACCCTGAGGGGACTGGAACTGGTGATCATTGGGGAGCAAACCCAATACCTGACACTACCGAGCTAAGGGTCTTAATCTCTTTCTATCACTAAATATTTTTCTCACCTGTGAATATGCTAAGGTTTCAAGTCTTCTGCGAGTGCCTTTTTAATCGTAAGAACACAAACAAACAGCCAAAGACTAAGGTTTTGAAATGGAGAGATCACCGAGTACCTTAAAACGAGACCCAATGGAAGAAAATTTGGAAGACTTCGATGATTCTTCAGGAAGTGGAGGAAATAAACCAGCTACGAAGGAACACTTTGAAGCCGTTAACAGATCCTGATGTTCTGCCACCACATAATCTTTGTTCTTATCCAGGAATAGATCTGCCATGTAAGTTACCTATAAGCAGAGAAAATGTTACTACCAATATTTGGCAAAGTTGGATTGTTTTTCTTTTCCCTTTCCTATTTTTTTCAATGATATGTACATAACCAAATAGAGAGACATCATTACCTCTCCAGCATAGTGAGATATTGTAAAATTGGTACGTGAAAGCTTAGGTTTGATGAAACGCTTGTTTTTTACAAAGGTCTGATACAGCTTCTGAGCAAATGTCTCATGTGTGGACTTAGGAAACATACTGCAATAAGCAGAGATACATACATAAATTTGTGAATATGCACAAAGATGAATGAAAAGGAAAACTGACTAACTTAACAATGTAATTTGATATTTATTAACCACGCTGAGATGTAACAAGGAACAACGAAAACCCAGCCAGCTCTACCATGCACATGAAAATCTACTAGTGAGAAACATAAATAGAGATCATAAGACTTGAATAGTAATCACGGAATATCATACCAAGCTTCATCTAAAAGTGCAATTATTCCACCAGGTTTCTGCAAAATTTCACAAATTTGGTTGTTAGAACCTGCCTTAGCAAATATGACGCAAAGAGAAAGGTGTTGAAACCGAACATACAGAATTATCACAAGTTCAAATCCATGCAAAACATTTTCAACACTACGCTTTCATACAGATAATTGAAAGAAGTATCTCAGTCAAAATAGGTAAAACTACAGTTTAAGACCTTCTCGATCAGATCCAGTACATCTTGATTATCAATGAACTCTATGTAGCTCCAATTTATCTGTTCTTTTTCATACTCCTCTTGCTCCATCTTAAATACATGCTGAAACCATGAAAAGAAATTCTTCAACAAGAAGATCATAAAATTATATTTAAGGTATTGAGCAAGACTCCACAAGAAGGTAAAATGACCTGATTAAAATGTTGTTGCAGTTTTTCATTGGTGAAATTGATACAGAACTGCTCAAAGCTGTTTCCCACGTGAAAAAATTTCAGCACAATGCCATGGCATACCACAAATGAGATGTTTAAAGAAGAACTTACCTATTGTGTTTAAAACTTTCAAACCCATATATATCAAGAACTCCAATTATTGTTTTTGAGTTTGGATCTTGCCCAATGGAAATATTTATTTTCTCCACAATCCTGTGAACAGTATAGGAAAGCAGTTAGAAAACTGAAAAGGTTGACAAATACGCCCCAAATGACAGAGTCTTGTGCTCATGAACTAGTTAATACACACGTCATATTCACTTCCCATACCAGTCAAACAGACGAGAATATATTGTTTTTGCCAAAGCATCCCTGCTACTCAAGGCAGATTCAGGATCAAGAGTCCTTGTAATGACTTCCTCTGGTGTCACCATCACACGCTTAATCATTGCATCTTCCAAGTTCTTGGCATCACATCTATTACAGCAAGTTCCATCAATTAAAATCTCCCACACAGCAGAAAGAGAAATATTCATTAGGAATTTGAAAAGGAAAAACAAGCATACTTGAGCAATTCAGCAGTTGTGTTAAGATGAAACATAGATTTTTCATCCTTAATGACAGAAGAATCAATTTCCTCCCCCTTCGCAAATTCAATATTACCAAGATGAAGAATTGCAGCCACAACTCTAAAAATTGCCTCCTGCAAATATTTGTTACAGTGTTAAAAACTCAGATTAGAGAGAAAACATTCAAATAAATAATAAGCACAAGAACTCTTCAAGAATAGTGGGAAGTGTAAACCTGTTCATCCTCACTGATTCCAACTATATCCATGGCCCTCCTGGTCACAAGGTATTCCTCAGCATCACTTACTCCATCGAGCTCATAGCAGTTTGACTGGTTAAGATAGTGAAATGACTTAGGACTTCCCAACTTATACTTCTCTCTATCCTGTAGATAGAATGAAAATGTCAGATAATTTCATCTGCAAAAGCATCTCCAGCAACATGTCAGAAGCAACATCTTGACAGCAATTTGGGACCAAACTGCACCTCAAGTGGTGCTGCACAGAGAAGATAAAAGCAGTGATAGTTTCTTTCAGGGTATGAAATCTGGCAAACTCGAGATCTCTCCAGCAGGTAAGTTCTAATAGCCGCTCCAGATATCCTCCCATTTTTATCAAATTGTATCTCAACAAATTTACCGAAACGACTGCATTGAAACACCAACATCGACATAATTAGACATGCAGCTAGCTTCCCGAAGGAAATATATGAACAAAACCTCACACAAACAAGTTCAGGGTAATTACACAAGCATGATCAATAAATAGGTGGTTACTTCTACTTTCACATAAAAGTCCACACAATTACTCACCTAGAATTGTTGTTCCTGACAGTTTTAGCATTTCCAAATGCTTCAAGAACTGGATTTGACTGTAATTTATTGCCAAAAAAACTCAAATTGGTGAAATCCCTGACTCAAGTGAGCTATTTTGCAAAAACGAAGATCTTTTTTAACTCGGGCTACATACAAGCAAACTTCATCTTACTTCTAAAACTTGTTGTTCAACAGTTCGTCCTTCTACTCCAGACCGGCCACCCAGATGCGCTAAATATCTCATTAGCATTTTTGTAGTTTCAGTTTTACCAGCACCACTTTCTCCACTGACCAAAATGGAGTTGCTCTTCCCTTCATTTTTCATTGCCCTGATAGCAGAAGTAGTATGTCAACAGGTATGTCATCCTCCCCATTCACCAAAAATTAGAGATTTCTGCATTTCAATATCACCTGTAAGCAACATCTGCAATTGCAAAAACATGTGGGCTAAGCTCTCCAAGTGCAGCTCCTTTATATTGTTCCATCATGTGAGTATCATACAGATGAGGTAATCTTTGGAAAGGGTTTATTGCAATCAAAATATTTCCAGTATATGTCTGGAAAAGAATTAAAATCAATTATTAGAACATCTAAATTGATTTTATAATTAATTTGTCAAACATTTCTTAACAAGTCCAGCGCTAGAATTTCAGATGTCTTACATATATCTCGTTAAGTTCGTATCTAGTAGCCAGGTTTTGCAGAACTCCTGGTTCATGCAAATATGAAAGCTTAGTCATGTCATCTACACCTCCAGGTGAAGCTTCAGTGTCCTTTGGAAACACTTTTGTGACATTGGCAACAACCTGCAATCACAGGCCTTAAGATATCTATACTGACATAGGGAAAAATACTTATAGACTAAGAATGAAAAACAGCAAACTCAGGGTCAAAAAAATATATATATATATTCTTCAGAAACAATACTACATATAAAGCTTTCAAGAACACACATAAATAAACCAGCTGTTAAAGAACAATGAGTAAAACGAGACTGAACATATCTGATTCAAGTAGAACTATAAAAATACAGGAAATTCTTTTGCACTATTAAACCGCAGCGCAGGAGGTGGCAAGAAGCTGAAACTTCGAAATCCATCTTTTACTAATACAGTAGAATGTGGCAATATGTACGACAAAAAAGGAAATTTTTATGCTAAACTCCAAATTGGATTTTCGTTTTTATGAAACATCTTTAATAACAATAGTTTAGATCAAATAAACTAGCCACAAGGAGTTTTTATTTGTTCAAACCTATGATGCTCGGACTTGTGTATGGGTATTGGATACAGGTATGTATCTAAGTGTCAAATCTTTTATTTTCTAAAATATAGGATACGGAGACACGGCTAAAAAGAGTCCAAACTTTGGACGTGGGTACGTATTTCAATTCAATTTTTTTTTCCAAAAATTCTTAATAATAATTATGTAGCAAATAAATCATCCCACCCCAGCTAACTAAATCAAGTCCAAAACAGCCCCAATTACATACCAATTACAAATACATATATACCCAACAGCCCTAAAAACTATTGTAGCCCAAGAACATTGGCCCATATAACCAATGGCCACCTATCAAAAATTATTTTAACCCAACCCAACCCAACCCAGACAATTAACCCATCATTACATACAAAACCCTCGTCTTCTCCAAATAGTCTACCTTCGTCTTCTCCAAATCGTCTTCTTCAACACTGCGCATGTTCTGCTTCCATCCCACAGCCGTATAACTCAAGACATAAATCCTCTAACTTTTTCTTCTCCAACATTGCTATTGCTTCTTCCTGTCGCCGCCTTAGACGCTGCCTGTTTCCGCCTCCAACCCACATCCTGACACTTCCGTGTCGACTTGAAAATTGAAGAACCTGTCCCGTATTTCATACTAGTACCTGTGTCGTGTCGACACGGGTGCTCCGGCCAATTCAACGAATCCGAGCATCATAGGTTCCAACAACCCTTTAATAGTTGAAGGCTTGTTATAAATGATTGAACAACTTGGCAATTTACTTACAATATAGTTGACGAGATACCATTATTCAAGGTACAGGTGCTCCTATAAAAATGGGCAACGCCCTACCTTTACGTGCTTGGATAGGAGGCTCCTTGGATTAATGTTCGGGGGCAGGGATGGCTATATTTCTGGGAGTGAACTAATTATGAAAGTGATAAATACTAGCGATTCAGTAATTATAGGATAATTGTGCTTAAATTAAAAAAGAAAAACATAACTTACATTCAACCATTAGGAAGAACATTAAAATAGGCACACAGGAAATGAAACGCGCATAATGATCATTTTTTTTCTGGGATCAGGAACTTTCTGGCAACAAGCTGTAAAGCATTTTCTTCTAAGACTCTCAGTGCACTGTGCAGCTCCTGATGAGAATTTTTTATCAAAAAAATACTTTTCCATTTCATTTCATTATCCCGGTCATCATAATTTTTTTCATATTTGTTGCTAACAGATTTAACAAGAAACAACCGACTTATGGTCGAAGCCTAAGAAGACGAACAATCCCTTCTAGAATTATTTGTTCGCAGCATTTATATTTTCGTTCTATTCCCAACTTATACTAATATCTAGTCCAATTTAGCGCAGCAAATCTCGCAATAGTAACATAGGCCACCGTTTCAATTTTTTTCTTTTTTCTTTTTTTTAAAGGGGAAAAAAAAATCATCATTACCAAATTGGACAGCATATTTTACAAGCTTTCTCCCATGAATTTAAGTTAATGACAAATGAAAATTAATCTGAACTAGCAATTAGGCAACATGAAGTGTATATACACTTGGGTTTTTCAATATTCCTAATTGTCATTAAATCACACTCCCTCACTCTCAAATATTAACTTTATGGTACTTTCAAAGTTACATCTAATGTGATTTAAAATTATAAATTTCCAACTCACTGGAATATATTTTGACAATGCATATGCCAGTTCAGAAAGTTGTGGAATCCACCTACGATGGTGTCTCCACCAAGAATAACAGTTGTGGGGAGCAGGTCATATATGGGCGAGAACAGAAAAAATTAAGCCGATGGCATATGAGCACTCACTTTTTTCCCATTTGTAGTATTCACATGAACATCCTGACCATCTAATCGGGTTACTTCTCCGTCAATCCATGCCAAGACTGGATCCTCAACCCATACATGTGAACCAACAATAATGTTAACTGGTGCTGCCTGCAAAACAAACAGAAAAAAAAGAAAAAGAAGACTGACATTAGACATGAACCAATGTATTATTACCCTGTTTTCCAGAGACTGAAGATATCCAAAACTGTCATGTCGTATACATCCATATAATATATCCAAGATACAATTAATGACACAAAAGCCACTTCCATAAGCATAAAGTAGTGTGTTCAATCCATCCACCTCCACACAAAAAAGAGAAAGGACAAAGTACTTCAAAAATGGATTGCACTTTCTGTCACAAATGAATTGATATTGAGAAACAATTAGATCAACAAGCATATAAAATAGGTTGGAATTTTGGAAGCAAAACCCCTTGACTTGTACTGAAGTATTGTTAAAGCAATAACAACGGAAACAGGCACTTGATGTAAAACATGCAAAAACATCATAAATCGCAAGCCATGTTTCGGACATATCAACTTAAAGTCCTGATTCCATTCCAACCAATATACACATACTAGGAACACAATGAACATAAAAAGTACAGATTTACAATGCAATTTTAACATGGACTTTTGGTGAAACTACTATAATACAGACAGCTTTGGAAGGATATAAGCACTCTTGTTTTGAGTTATGTTTTCCTGTAAGTTTCTTAAGTAGAATTAACTATCTAAAAATGATATTATTTTACATTCATTTCGACTTGGAGCAGCGAAGAAATTTTTAATAGGGGCAACCAAAGCAATAACTGCTGTTAACGTTTTCTGATAGAAAGATAAAGAATTAAAAGAGCTGTATGGTATTTCCTAGGCATGTTGGTCAATTCATTGTGCATTATTAAGCATAGTACGATCCTGACTTCTTTCGATAGCCTACTGTCGAAGGATGGAGATGCAGGTTGGTCGAGCAAACTGATTCATTTAATTCTATGTTGTCATATATTTAGAAGAATCACCAAGCTTCTATAATAGCATATTCATGCTTGACAGAAATAATCCCAATGAAAATACACTGCTTATCAACTTCCAAATCTATCACCTGTTAGCAGCGGGTTTTAACACCATTAACTGCTACCAACTTATTTCCTGACTAAACCTTCTGGAGCTTCTGTTCTACACAGGAAATACTTAATCAAATTGATTGATTTTTCTGTACCCGAAATGTTTCCTTTTTAATCCAGCAAATATTTATTTAGCTTTAGAAAAAAATACCAATTTTTTTATTTCCATAATTTAATCTTACCTTGGACACGAGAACAATTAAGCAAATATAGATGCAGCTGCTAATACCAACAAAAATCTTTTTCAATGTATGCAAGTATGTATATGCATATTATCTCACCATAAATTAATAATTGAACAAAACAAAAAGAGAAATACAATAACAAAAAGAGAAAAAAAAATCAAGATGAACTCTAAACTGAAACAAAATTGGCCGGGGAAGAAAAGCTCAATCAGTCAAAAAGCAATCAACTAGAAATCAAAACTCCAGCCATTGTAGTCATTTTACGCATCAACTTACCATAACTAAATTTGCGAGAAATTCGATCTCCTGCTCTTCAACTCATTAAGACAAAGACACGACCTGCCTTGACTCGTTGAGTCGGATCAGATCCTCAGGAATTTCAATATCCACCACAACCTTTTCTCTTCCGATTAGGCAAATTAATTAGCAATACCTTTTCGCTTTCTCTATCTAACAATCTTCCACCTTATGAACACTAATTCGAATACAATATCTATGAAAATACGTGTATGTATACAAACATGTACAGATAAAATGGTATAGAGTTACTTCTTGTTTGTTTCTCTCTCTAAAATTTGCTGGTTTGGGCTGTATTGTGGTATAACATTCTTATGCTTTCTCTCTCTAAAACTTCATTTGTCTGGTCAGCTAGTTGTTGAGTCCCACACACAAACGCTGAAGAAATGTACTCAATACTAAAACCGACATTAGAGGCAGTTTAAGACTAATTAAGCCGGGTTGTTTTAGGTCCTTATGTTTGGGTTCGAAATTGAGTTTATTTACATGATTGACACCGGGTAGATCAAATTTAAAGTTACAAGAAAAGTCTTTTTGAAATTTTTACCACCCTATCTTGTGGGTTGTAGTAAAAATTTGCGAAATGGAGAGATCATGATCGTATTTTCACTAATATATTTGGTTGTGACGAGTAATGCAACATTTTTTTTTTTTAGATCACTGATCGAGATTGATATAATGAGTAGGTAATCTATAATTATTTTTAGTGATTGTGTCTTTAATTATAATTTTTATAAGGATTAATGATAACTATTGTCTCCTTAATTACTTAATTATGAAAATTTATTATTTCGTCTTTAATTTTTCAATGTACCTTTCAATTCAGTGAAAATAAAATTTGTGGGAAGGACAAAATTCAAAAAATTTGAACACAACAAGTGATTTAATTTTTCAATGTACCTTCCCAATTGAGTGAAAATAAATTTTGTGGGGGAGGGGACAAAATTCAAAAAATTCGAATACAACACATGAGCGAACAAAAAAGAATAAAAATTAATGATTTTAGGGGTAATCGTGTAAATTTGTAGAATCTGGAGTGAATTTTCTGGTGCGGTTTACAATGTTTTAGGAAGATTGCAATCGGATGTCCGCCCGCCGTTTGCTGGCGAATCAACACATTACATTACCTATATTGTTGGAAGACAACCGTCACTCTGTCCGGTTAGCTGTAAACTAAAATGATATATTTCACCTTTTTCTATTTTTGGTATTTTTCTATATATCATTGTTAAAACGACATTTAGAGTTCAATAATACTACTCGTACAAAGTAGCTAAAGTGACGTGTACGGCAGGTATTAAAATGGGGTGGACGGCTGTGATTCGATAATAGAAAATTTTGCGGTAAGTAGGCGTCAAAAACCCAGTGTCTCTGCTGCTGCGTAGTGAAGTAGGGAAAAAAAATCAAGGATGCCAAAACCATTTTTCCCAACTTCCACTATCGGACGACTTTGCATATCATGTCCTAAAATCCGGTCTCCATCTCCGGCAGTGGTGCAGCCATGCAGATCCAACAGTAAAGTCCGATGTCCATCTCCGGCAATCCCTTGACAGGTCCGGTCAACCTACGTAGGTATCACTTGGTTTCACTTGCGTTTATCCTACTTGGTTTCACTTTCCTTTGTCTTAAGAGATGATTCGATAAACACATAAACCATATATACATTCTTTGGAGAACAAATATGATGAGAAAAGTTAATAATTGACAACAAAAGAACATTATTAAATCTGGTTTTAGAGGAAAAGGATGAAAAGGTTTTAACTGGGTGCACGTGAACTATCATAAGAATAGCAATAATGCTAGACAACCCAAGTACAAACTGCACTGTCGGTCACAAACAGAAATATATTTCCACAGAAAGCTTTGAGGCGGAAAAGTTATTCTTTGGGCGGCAAAAACACGAAGTGGGGGAAATGCCACTGTTGGTTGCGTTGCTTGTTTTGAATGTGATTGCTCAAGTCCATCTTCTCCAAAACCGGGTCATTAGGCAGGAAGGTATGAATTTTTGGTTGGAATTTTGTTGTTTAATTTGAGCTGAAATTTTAGTTACCAGTAAACTGTCCTATATTTATAGAATGTTAAACATTGCTACTAAACCAGTGGTGCACACAGAAGTTGACGATATGTCTCGAACTTTCGAATCTCAAGTGTTGCTTAATAACGAAGAAGAACTGTTGATCTTGTGAACGTGAACATGATCGTCCACCGTGGAAAACTACCTACTGAACGAGAAATGAAGGGGAAGGACACATCATAGTATACTCAGTTAATTGTCTTGTTTTGGTGTAGTTTGAGAAGCAGGTGGATGTTGTAATTCTATCTTTGGTGTAATTGAACATATGTTATTTTTGTAGCCAATGGTTGTTTGAAACATTTTGATCTCCTTTTCCTAGTCCAGGAATCTGCTTCATGACCCATATTTATGGGCATCTAAAACTTCATTTTAGTTGGCTTAAACTTCTTGTACACAGTGGAATCCATCCTAACAAAAACAAGCAGTCCTTGATGAAATGCCAACAGAATTACAATACCACAACTAACAAGGACTGTATCACAATTCAATGAAAATAACTCCAGTCAACTAAAATGGACCAGCCATAGTTCAATCACAAAGAAGGCAATAATAAAGTGAATAATTCAATATGCATAAAGTTTGCCTCTCCAGAAAGTGAATAATTCAACACCTTGTTCCACGCACAAACATGCCCATATATTTCATCTGCACTAATACATACTAAGTCTAATATTAAACATAAATCTATTACATCACATTAGCTTCTACAAGGCAGTGGCAAAATAGTCCTATGGAACTGGTGACATAAAACTTGCTTCAATGGAAATGGGGCCACTAAGATGCTCTAAATGTTGTCGTTGAGGAGCTGGCAGAGCCTCAAGCGCACCATCTAGGATATTACTATGCCTCGGTGTCGAACTCTTTCCTTTTGTTTGATTTCGATAGTGCCTGCATGCGCACCGTAACAAATATTAATTATATAACAAAAAAGTAATTATGAACAAAACATTGTCCTCAATGTTATCATTTTCGGAATCCACGAACAAAACATCTTCCATATTCTCTTCTACAAAACATAAACACTCACCCGTTATTTTTCGAAAATGTACAAATGTAAATAATGTGACAGAGAGGGAGCATCTTAGGAAAATTCTAGTTCGGGATTTCAGCACCACTTTGTTCGTCCTTGAAGAAACTCAAAGATCCCTCTATGCATTCTACAAAATTAAACTCTCATTCTTTGTATATTTGTTTTTGCACAATATTTTTATAATTCAAAAGATTCAAGGCCTTTGGAAAATTACTGGCTGGAATTGATCAAAAAATGGCATTTAGCTCTTTGAATTTATATGATAGTTCACGTGCAGTTCGTACTTGGGTTTTCTAGCATTATTGTTATTCTTATGATAGTTCACGTGCACCCAGTTAAAACTTTTTCATCCTTTTCCTCTGAAACCAGATTTAATAATGTTTTTTTTGTTGTCAATTATTAACTTTTCTCTGGGAAATACCTCAAATTGACCTAAATAAAGGAAGGATTTTCCAAAATAGCCTTTGACTTTTCTAAACATTTGGAACTACCTAAAACACCCTTAAACAAATATTAAAAAACAACCCTTTATCTAATATAAATCTTCTATTTAAGTCCTTAAAAAATTAACAAATAATTTTTCTAAAAATTTGTGAGAATTATTAATGACTAATTATAAAATAGAAAAACCCAAATATAAGAGAGGACCATATAATATAAAAAAGGTTGTTAAAAATAAAAAAGAAATTAAGTTTGAAAAAGAAATTGATAAGATAGGATATCAAGAACAATTATATGCATCACAAGAAATATTAAAATGTTTCAAAGAAAACTTATTAGAAAATTTTGCTAAAGGAATTGTTAGAACAATAATTATAAAAGATATACAAGATATCATAGATAAATTGGGAAAAAGGAAGAAAAATATTTCAAAATATGATATACCTTTTAGAACAGATATAGATATGATAACAGATATTGATATTATAAATTCTCAGACATTATTAGACTTTGAAAAATTACTTAAAAATCTATAAGAAGGCAAATAAAAAATAGATTAGTCCGTATCTTAAGATTTTATTTTAACAGTAAAATAAAAGAGTTTTTGGAATATAAAAAATTTTTAGATTCATGGTTATTAGATTTTTAGATTATTAGATTTTTGTTCGCTCATAGTAGCACCCGCACAGTTGGTATCAGAGCCATAGAGATTACAAGAGAAAATATAAAAAATAAAATTATGATTTTAGAAATTATTGAAACTTATAAAAATAGACTAAGGTACCAGGTAAAATATAGTTATGACATAGAAGGCTATATAGAGGAAAATAATATAGTTGGAACATATAGTAAGGATATAAAAGAAATATTAGAAATTTTTAGAGTAATTAAAAATCTACCTATGGAATTAAAAGAGAAAATAATTAAAAAGATATTATTTGAAGAATATAAGCATATATATATATATCGTAGATATGAAATAATTTGCGAAATATTTGAAAATGATTTGTATCATAGAGAAATATATGAATCATCATAAAAATATAATGGAAAAAACTAAAAATATTTTAGAAAGGAAGTTAGAAAGAATAAGATTAATAAATAATAAAATTTTAGATGAATTATTAATATCTGGAGAAATAACTAAAATTCAAGAAAGACAAATATTAAAATTAAAACAAGAAAGGTATAAAAAAAAAAAGCAAAGTATTATGAAAAATTAAAAGAGATAACAAATCCTGAAGTTATAAAACAAAAATATGATAAAATGATAAAAGAG